GGGGAGCAGCGAGAGCTCCGTAACCAGGGGCGGGGAGCAGAGAGAGCTCCGTCACCACGGGCGGGGAGCAGCGAGAGCTCCGTCACCAGGGGCGGGGAGCAGCGAGAGCTCCGTAACCAGGGACGGGGAGCAGCGAGAGCTCCGTCACCACGGGCGGGGAGCAGAGAGAGCTCCGTAATGTCAGAATTTATGGCTAGAAGGAGTTTATAGAATAGTGAACGGTATCCTGTTTAAATGTGAGCGCACTATAACCACTGATAAGGAAAGCGGTTTCCCTTATATAAGGGAAGAAAGAAACCAGTTAGCACAGAGCTGGGGCAGTTCTTCCAGTGCTAGCCAGGGGGCGCTGTGCTCTGATTGGATGGAATCGCTTGAAATTAATTCCATTTATATTGTCATGTTTCCACTCACAATCATTGGCAGAGTGACACCCTTCACTCACTCCGTGGCATTCTCACCCCTCACTCATGCCATGGCACCCTCACCCTTCACTCACCCTGTGCCACCCTCACCCCTCACTCACGCCATGGCACCCTCACTCACCCTGTCGCATTCTCACCGTGGCATCCTCACCCCTCACTCAGTGCCACCCCTACCTCTCACTCACGCCGTGGCACGCTTTATTACCGGGTACTCACATGGAAGAATATCTTTATATCGATTTTTCTTCAGGTTTTCTGGACTTTCTCCCACTTTGGTGGAATAATCATTGCTCTGTTTGAATGCTGCAGCCTGAGTCTTTATATCCTGAAAACAGAAAATATCCTCAGACAAAATCCCAACACGATCACTAACAGACAAAGAACAGGCATTGTCGGCCAGGAGGGGTAACCGACAGCCAAGGGGGTAAATCATCCCCCTGGTTCCTTCTAACTATATAGCCTGCTCTTCCAGCTGTTTGGAACCACAGCCAATCACCTCCCTATTCCCTTCACATATTATCAGCTGCTGCAGTTATTCCATTAGCTCTCTCTGCCATCACATACAAATCCCTCTGCTACCTCTCGTCTCATCTCCCCAGTTTAAACTTTAGATTGTAAGCTCACGGGCAGGGTCCTCTACCTGTTGTATCGGTCTGTTATTATTGTGTTTGTCTTTTTCCCAATTGTACAGCGCAGCGGAATATGTTGGTGCTTTAGAAATTCCAATAAGAAATAAATAAACAAGGGCACTACACCAGGACTATTCCTGCGGAGCTCTGTGATACCCTCATACACACTGCACATTACTGGGAGTTTTATTACTGTGGAGCTCTGTGATACCCTCACACACTGCACATTACTGTGAGTTTATTGCTGTGGAGCTCTGTCAGTAATGTGCAGTGTGTATGAGGGTATCACAGAGCTCCACAGTAATAAAACTCGCAGTAATGTGCAGTGTGTATGAGTGTATCACAGAGCTCCACAGCAATAAAACTCCCAGTAATGTGCAGTGTGTATGAGGGTATCACAGAGCTCCACAGTAATAAAACTCCCAGTAATGTGCAGTGTGTATGAGGGTATCACAGAGCTCCACAGTAATAAAACTCCCAGTAATGTGCAGTGTGTATGAGTGTATCACAGAGCTCCACAGTAATAAAACTCACAGTAATGTGCAGTGTGTGTGAGTGTATCACAGAGCTCCACAGTAATAAAACTCCCAGTAATGTGCAGTGTGTATGAGGGTATCACAGAGCTCCACAGTAATAATACTCACAGTAACGTGCAGTGTGTATGGGTGTATCACAGAGCGCCACAGCAATAAAACTCACAGTAATGTGCAGTGCGAGTGTATCACAGAGCTCCACAGCTATAAAAATCACAGTAATGTGCAGTTTGTATGAGTGTATCACAGAGCTCCACAGTAATAAAACATACCGTAATGTGCAGTGTGAGTGTATCACAGAGCTCCACAGCTATAAAACTCACAGTAATGTGCAGTGTGTATGAGCGTATCACAGAGCTCCACAGTAATAAAACTCTCAGTAATGTGCAGTGTGTATGAGCATATCACAGAACTCCACAGTAATAAAACTCTCAGTAATGTGCAGTGTGTATGAGTATCACAGAGCTCCACAGTAATAAAACTCACAGTAATGTGCAGTGTGAGTGTATCACAGAGCTCCACAGCTATAAAACTCACAGTAATGTGCAATGTGAGTGTATCACAGAGCTCCACAGTCATAAAACTCTCAATAATGTGTAGTGTGTATGAGCGTATCACAGAGCTCCACAGTCATAAAACTCCCAGTAATGTGCAGTGTGTATGAGCGTTTCACAGACCTCTACAGTAATAAAACTCCCAGTAATGTGCAGTGTGTATGAGTGTATCACAGAGCTCCACAGTAATAAACTCACAGTAATGTGTAGTATGTATGAGTGTATCACATAGCTCCACAGCAATAATACTCCCAGTAATGTGCAGTATGAGTGTATCACAGAGCTCCACAGTAATAAAACTCTGCAATGTGCAGTGTGTATGAGGGTACTGGCGAGCCTGTGCAATAAACTCCCAGTAATGCAGTGTGTAAGTGAGGGTATCAAGCAGAGCCCACAGCACAAACTCCCAGTAATGTGCAGTGTGTAAGGAGTGTATCACAGAGCTCCACAGTAATAAAATCACAGTAATGTGCAGTGTATGAGGGTATCACAGAGCTCCACAGTAATAAAACTCACAGTAATGTGCAGTGTGTATGAGTGTAACACAGAGCTCCACAGTAATAATACTCCCAGTAATGTGCAGTGTGTGAGTGTATCACAGAGCTCCACAGCAATAATACTCCCAGTAATGTGCAGTATGAGTGTATCACAGAGCTCCACAGTAATAAAACTCCCAGTAATGTGCTCCACAGTAATAAAACTCACAGTAATGTGCAGTGTGTATGAGGGTATCACAGAGCTCCACAGCAATAAAACTCACAGTAATGTGCAGGGTGTATGAGGGTATCACAGAGCTCCACAGTAATAAAACTCACATTAATGTGCAGTGTGTATGAGTGTATCACAGAGCTCCACAGTAATAAAACTCCCAGTAATGTGCAGTGTGTATGAGTGTAACACAGAGCTCCACAGTAATAATACTCCCAGTAATGTGCAGTGTGTGAGTGTATCACAGAGCTCCACAGCAATAATACTCCCAGTAATGTGCAGTATGAGTGTATCACAGAGCTCCACAGTAATAAAACTCCCAGTAATGTGCAGTGTGTATGATGGTATCACAGAGCTCCACAGTAATAGAACTCCCAGTAATGTGCAGTTTGTATGAGTGTATCACAGAGCTCCACAGTAATAAAACTCACAGTAATGTGCAGTGTGTATGTGTATCACAGAGCTCCACAGTAATAAAACTCACAGTAATATGCAGCGTGTATGAGGGTATCACAGAGCTCCACAGTAATAAAACTCCCAGTAATGTGCAGTGTGTATGAGAGTATCACAGAGCTCCACAGTAATAAAACTCCCAGTAATGTGCAGTGTGTATGAGTGTATCACAGAGCTCCACAGTAATAATACTCCCAGTAATGTGCAGTGTGTATGAGTGTATCACAGAGCTCCACAGTAATAAAACTCCCAGTAATGTGCAGTGTGTATGAGTGTATCACAGAGCTTCACAGTAATAATACTCCCAGTAATGTGCAGTGTATATGAGTGTATCACAGAGCTCCACAGTAATAATACTCCCAGTAATGTGCAGTATGAGTGTATCACAGAGCTCCACAGTAATAAACTCACAGTAATGTGCAGTGTGAGTGTATCACAGAGCTCCACAGCAATAAAACTCACAGTAATGTGCAGTGTGAGTGTATCACAGAGCTCCACAGTAATAATACTCCCAGTAATGTGCAGTGTGAGTGTATCACAGAGCTCCACAGTAATAATACTCCCAGTAATGTGCAGTGTGAGTGTATCACAGAGCTCCACAGCAATAATACTCCCAGTAATGTGCAGTATGAGTGTATCACAGAGCTCCACAGTAATAAAACTCCCAGTAATGTGCAGTGTGTATGATGGTATCACAGAGCTCCACAGTAATAGAACTCCCAGTAATGTGCAGTGTGTATGAGCGTATCACAGAGCTCCACAGTAATAATACTCCCAGTAATGTGCAGTGTGTATGAGTGTATCACAGAGCTTCACAGTAATAAAACTCCCAGTAATGTGCAGTGTGTATGTGTATCACAGAGCTCCACAGTAATAAAACTCCCAGTAATGTGCAGTGTGTGTGAGGGTATCACAGAGCTCCACAGTAATAAAACTCCCAGTAATGTGCAGTGTGTATGTGTATCACAGAGCTCCACAGTAATAAAACTCCCAGTAATGTGCAGTGTGTATGAGAGTATCACAGACGGACGGACGGTACAGCTATGGGTTCACCTGGAACTCCTTTGTAAGAATTTCCTGGTAGTCTCTGCCTTTGGCTGCGCTGACTCTGTCCAGAAAAGCCCTGAGATTGTTGGCCATGAGGCTCATGGTGACAGCTCCCCTCTCGCACACTGAGCTCCCGCTGTCACCGATCAGGGACCGTCACACTCAGAGTGCTATGAGGAAGTGTCCAAACAGGGAATATTACAGCAAGACACCTCATGTGACAGCTCCATACCTTCCCCCTGTCTAACCGGCAGGACCAGAGCTGTCACCTAGTGGAGAGAGAGAGACAGCACCCACTGCGGAGGCGGGGGGGGGCACCTGGAGAAACTGCAACCTCTTTTTGGGAGAGAGACAGCACCTGGAGAGAGAGAGACAGCACCTGGGGAACCAGCACCCTCTGCTATGGGAAAGAGAGAGAGAGCACCTGGTAAGAGAGACAGCACCTGGGGAACCAGCACCCTCTGCTATGGGAAAGAGAGAGAGCACCTGGAGAGAGAGACAGCACCTGGGGAACCAGCACCCTCTGCTATGGGAAAGAGAGAGAGAGCACCTGGAGAGAGAGACAGCACCTGGGGAACCAGCACCCTCTGCTATGGGAAAGACAGAGAGACAGCACCTCTGCTGAGCACCTGGAGAGAGAGACTGCATTTACTGCTATGGGAGAGAGAGAGAGAAACCCCCTTTGTTGAGCACCTGGAGAGAGACTGCACTCACTGCTATGGGAGAGAGAGAGAGAGCCTATGAGACTTTTCATCTGTTTTTTTCTTTTGATCCAACAGAAGTTGAAAACCCCAATTTAAAGCAATTTTCTATTTTGCAAAACATAATTTGGGGGAAACAATTTTCTGACTCCAAAATGTGAAGAGACCTGTTAGCCCACCATATTGATTGTACGACTTCCTGTTAGCCCACCATACTGATTGTAGCCCACCATACTGATTGTACGACTTCCTGTTAGCCCTCCATACTGATTGTAGCCCACCATAGTGATTGTACGACTTCCTGTTAGCCCTCCATACTGATTGTAGCCCACCATAGTGATTGTACGACTTCCTGTTAGCCCACCATACTGATTGTAGCCCACCATAGTGATTGTACGACTTCCTGTTAGCCCACCATACTGATTGTAGCCCACCATAGTGATTGTACGACTTCCTGTTAGCCCACCATACTGATTGTAGCCCACCATAGTGATTGTACGACTTCCTGTTAGCCCACCATACTGATTGTACAAGGGATATGTTGATGTATTGGTTTTGGTAAATACATCATGGTTTGCTATACATTCATCTGGACTTTAAAACGAAAAACAGGACGCAGGAAGTGCAGACAATACAGTAAAACGGGAAGTGACCAAGGTGACAATAAGTTTACAACCTGCTTCTCTTTATTGTAATTCCGAATTCAGTAAACCACAAACCGTGGTCTCTGTATAACACGAATACTAATACTCTACCACTGTGTCTCATTTAAGAATAAGCGTCAGTGAGTGTGTCAGTGAGTGCCTGTATCAGTGTGTGTGTCAGTGAGTGCCTGTATCAGTGTGTGTGTCAGTGAGTGCCTGTATCAGTGTGTGTGTCAGTGAGTGCCTGTGTCAGTGAGTGTTTCAGTGAGTGCCTGTGTCAGTGAATGTGTTTATTAGTGAATGCTCATGTCATTGTATGTGCATGTATCACTGTGTGTGTCGGTGAGTGCCTGTTGTAACAATCCTCAGGTACTTTGTGAAGTACGTTCGTTCGCACACTCCCGAAATGCTAGGGACTTAGTGATTATAGCCCGTTCGCATAGTACGCTGATTCGTACTTTCCCGAAATACAAGCTGGTCATGAGAATAATTCAAGCAGTTCGTCGTTCACCTATCCAAAACATCAGTCGAGACTTGATGAAGGGTACAACAGGAATGTTTTATTATGGCCAGGAGGCCCACTTATATACACAGACCCCAAGCATGGGGTCTCCAGCAAAGACATAGCAGAACACTCCCACAACACGCCCAAGACACTCCCAGGCATCTGTCTGGGAGATAATTTATTGTACTTTACTTAAACTAATTATCTCCCAGGCACTAGAGGTACAAATCATAAAACATAAAATACCCCAAAATACATATAACACATATTGGAGGCCCCCAAAAATATTATATCCCCGGATAGTCTGGATCTGAGCGCCCAAGTTGTCCAAATAGTGCTCAGATCCCACGAACACAGCCGAATCGCCATTGGGGTAAAGTTTTGAGCGACCGCACACGTGGCGTCTGCCCAAATAAGTTCCAGAGAAATAGTGGTAGTGGTCGGTAACTTTCTGGAGTTCCATATGAACAAACAGACGAATGGTTCCCCTGGCTTATAGGTAGCAATTGTTCGCTATGTTCGTGCGAACAATCCTTCCGAACAGCGCTCTCCTGACTTGTTGTGGAAAGAAGCAGGCATTCGCATAAAATTGCCGCTGTTTGCAAGGTCGAGTGCCCAACTTATAGTTCCAGACACTCAACGACCAAGTCCCACTGCCTGCTTTCGTGCGACAAGATGGCCGCTGTTTTCTCCAGCACGTGTTGTTCAGTTATATGAATGGCGGCCACACAGTGAGAGCACTTCAGTTTGTGGTTTATTTGAATTTAATGAGCCAGGGAGTGGTCAGTGTTCAGTAGATCCATCTACCTAACGCAGGGAAAGATACTGGGTGAATAAAATACATGGTTTTTGTCAGACCTGTGTCATTGATTATAAGTTTCATTGTGTGTGTCAGTAAGTGCCCGTGTCATTGATTGTATGTATTGTGGCGTGACCGCTGCCTGTTCGTGAATTGCTGTGATCATCTGTGTATTGCCCCGTACTTTTCGTATGAATGTGCCTGTTCCCCGTTCGGGAGGGCCTACACAAAGGGAATGCATTCCCTTCCCGAACGGGGACCACCCTGACAACTCATTTATAATGTTAGTTTAGAAGGTTCGCACCTTGTAATGAGGTGTCAAAACAACAAACCGCAAGGGAAGCCTCGGCGCGTGCCACCCCTGGGTGGCGACCCATTCTTTATATGAATGCCATCTAAGGGGATCATTGGTGGATTGCTTCCCACCTCGTTCGGTTCCCGAACAGGGACTTCCCCAGTGCCCCTTGGAGTGTTCACACCAATCAATTACAACATTGGCATCTTGCAACATAAGTGTGAAACCGCAAGGGAAGTAATTAATGAGTACTTCCCTGGGTGGCCGCCATTCGTATAGAGCATTCGTGTGCCGAAAGGAGACACTTCCCTTGCCTGGTTTCACCAAGGGACCCCACAAGTGGAGGCGGTTACCGTTCTGGGGTCCATGAGATTGGTGGGGACACTCTCTTGGGGACAATGGCTGTTTGGCGGGCTTTCTGTAGCTGGGAGTCACAGAGGCGGGAAACTTTCCCGTGCTGGGACTCCCAGGTACAGAGAGCCCCTGGGCCCCGGAGGTGGGAAAACCTGAGGATGGGTGAGGGGAAACTGGGGAAAAAAGGGACTGGAGTTCCTGTCGCACGTACAGGCAATCAGTAACCTTTTCCTATAGATGAATCTTACCTGTAACAGTAAAAAAGAACCTGTAACAGCAAAATCTTAGACAGTTGAAGAATCAGTAAAACTCTCCAGAATATCTCCAATCACACACTTTGAAGCAGCACTTAGAAGTAGCAACCAAGCTATATAGGTCAGTGCTATAGGTGTGTATCACAATCAAAGACACATCCAGTCACTGACACAGTGATACATGTAACGGGCCTGCTGACAACCCGACCGGTTGTCCTTACTCAGTCACTTCTTGTCCCTGGAAGGGAATCGGCTATAACACAGAGAAACCCATTTCTCACCCAGTAACCGGACGACACACAGTCCTGGGGGTACAAGCCAACTTTATTGGCCACACTCGGCTTTATACTTTGATGGGGATAATGTAGATTTAGTCGCTGTTACTGCGACATGGTATAATGAGAAAAATTACTGGGACATAGCAATACCAGGATACTCTTTATATAGAAAAGACAGGGGAGGCAAGAAAGGGGCAGGGGTGGCCCGGGTGGCCCTGTATGTGACGGATAGCATATAATCTAGCCTAATAAAAGTTAGTGAGGCGAACATAGAGTCTGTTTGGGCTACGTTAGAATTAGGTAATCACACAGTAACTCGTGTAGGTGTGATTTATAGGCCCCCATGACAAATATAAGAGTTAGATAATCTACTAGTTGAGGAAATAGCTAAAATGACAATGAAGGGGGAAGTTATCATCATGGGAGACTTTAATCTTCCTGATGTAAATTGGAAAACAAAAATAGCTGCTTGTGCCAGGAGCACACATATTCTAAACTCCCTACTGGGATTGTCTCTAAAACAAGTCGTAGAGGAGCCAACTAGTAACAAATGGAGATTTTATATCTGATAACAAATGGAGATTTGGTATCAGATATTACTGTGGGTAAAAGTTTAGGATCCAGTGATCATCAGTCAGTGTGGTTTAATATAAGAACAGTGACTGACTCACACCACACAAAAACTAAAGTTTTAGACTTTAGAAAAACAGACTTTTGTAAAATTAGAATATGTGTAAAGCAGTCATTATCAGACTGGAGCAATTTAAATGGAGTCCAAGAGAAATGTGATTATTTAAAGGATCACTATAGGGTCAGGAACACAAACATGTATTATGACCCTATAGTGTTAAACCACCATCTAGCTCCCCTGGAGCCCTCATGCTTCCATAAATATAGCAAAATCTTACTGTATTCAAGCCTGAAGCTGTAAATCTGCATGCTCTTAGACTCAAAAAAAACAAGCAGTCTGCTGACATCATCAGAAGTGGTAGCCTGATCCAATCACAGTGCTTCCCCATAGGATTGGCTGAGACTGACAAAGAGGCAGATCAGGGGCAGAGCACAGCCCTGGCCAATCAACATATCCTCATAGAGATGAATTGAATCAATGATTCTCAATGAGGAAAGTTCAGTGTCTGCATGCAGAGGGAGGAGATACTGAACGTTTGGATGCATTTTAGGCAGCCATGACCCAGGAAGGATCCCTTACAGCTATCTGAGGAGTCGCCAGTGAAGTTATCACTAGGCTGTAATGTAAACACTGCATTTTCTCTGTTCAGACAGTGTTTACAGCAAAAAGCCTGAAGGTAATGATTCTACTCACCAGAACAAATTCAATAAGCTGTAGTTGTTCTGGTGACTATAGTGTCCCTTTAAAAGTTGTACTGCTGAAGGCAACAGAAAATTGCATTAGGCTTGTCAGTAAAAGCAAAAATTAAAGAAACCACTGTGGTACTCCACAGATGTGGCCAAAATAGTAAAAAACTAAAAGTTATCATTTAGTAATTATAAAAAAAAAAAAACAGAGTGAGGAAGACAAAATGATCTATAAGATTAGGCAGAAAGAGGTTAAGCAAGTTATAAGAGCTTCCAAATCACACACAGAAGAGAAAATAGCACAGTCAGTAAAAATGGGGGATAAAACATTTTTTAGATACATAAATGAGAAAAGGAAAGTAAAACAAGGATTAGTTAGATTAAAAACAAAACAAGGAAGGTATGTAGAAGAGGATAAAGGTCAGGCTGACTGCCTCAATTAATATTTTTGTTCTGTATTTACAGATGAAAATGAAGGAAAGGGACCTCAGTTAGGAAAAAGGACAAATGAGTCATTTATTACATATGAGTTTACAGAGGAAGAGGTTCTATTTCAACTGTCAAAAGTAAAGACAAATAAGTCAATGGGGCCCGATGGAATACACCCAAAGTTATTAAAAGAGCTTAGTGGTGTACTAGCAAAACCATTAACAGATTTATTTAACCTATCATGGTTAACAGGAATAGTCCCAGAAGATTGGAAGTTAGCGAATGTTGTGCCCATTTACAAGAAAGGTAGTAGGGAGGAGTCGGGCAACTATAGGCCAGTAAGCCTTACTTCAGTAGTGGGGAAAGTGATGGAAACCATGTTAAAGGATAGGATTGTTGAACATCTAAAACACATGAATTTCAAGATCAGAGACAACATGGGTTTACTTCAGGTAGATCAGTACAAACTAATCTTATAGATTTTTTTGATTGGGTACCTAAATAATAGATCAGGGTGGTGCAGTAGACATTGCTTACCTAGATTTCAGTAAGGCTTTTGACACTGTTGCACATAGAAGGCTTATCAATAAACTGCAATCTTTAAGTTTGGATTCCAATATTATTAAATGGGTAAGACAGAGGCTGAGTGACAGGCAACAGAGGGTTGTAGTCAATGGAGTATATTCAAAGATTGGGCTTGTCACCAGTGGGGTACCTCAAGGATCTGTACTTGGACCCATTCTCTAATATTTTTATTTGTGATATTGCAGAAGGTCTTGATCGTAAGGTATGTTTTTTTGCTGATGATACTAAGATATGTAACAGGGATGATGTTCCAGGAAGGTTAAGCCAGATGGCAAATGATGTAGGTAAACTAGAAAAATGGTGTGACAGATTCCCCAAAAAATCAAAGTTTGACCGACCGCACGCACGCATTGTCCCATGTCCAAAACAGTTCTATAGAATCGCGGCTAGGTGCCATTGGGGGACCGACCAGGAACCGCAAAATCTTCATGCCGAAAATAGTTCCAGGGCTTTCACGGCTAAGTCCCCTTGAAGTCTATTCGCTGTTTTGGTTCATGCGAACGGCCGCCAGGGAGCTAGCGTTCGGTTACATGCACACAAATGGAAAGTGCCGAACCAGGGGTCAATCCATTCGGTAGATGGTTCGGTTCCCGAACCAAGTTCTTAGTTTTGTTCGGTGGAGTTCGTATGCTGGATCAGTTAAATAAAACAGTGATTTAAGGACAGGGAATCTGTCACAAATCGTCAGAGTTGTGGCAACTGACATTTAATGTGGATAAAGTGCAAGATAATGCATCTTGGACATAAAAACCCAAGGGCAGAGTACAGAATATTTGATAGAGTCCTAACCGCAACATCTGAGGAAAGGGATTTAGGGGTGATTATTTCTGATGACTTAAAGGTAGGCAGACAATGTAATAGAGCAGCAGGAAATGCTAGCAGAATGCTTGGTTGTATAGGGAGAGGTATTAGCAGTAGAAAGAGGGAAGTGCTCATGCCATTTTACAGAACACTGGTCAGACCTCACTTGGAGTATTGTACGCAGGGCCGCCGCTACCATAAGGCGGCACAGGCAGCCGCCTTAGGGCGCACCGGCCCAGGGGTTGCAATCTCCGGGTGACCGGAAAGAGAAGAGCACCATTTGAATCACTCACCTTCTGTCGGTCACTTCATGTAGCGTGGCCGAGCAGGCGGAACGCTACTTACCCGGTCTAACAGGAAATGCAACAAACTGCTTCCTGTCAGACCAGGACATGAAACCAGATCCTTCACCGCCTCCAAGTCAGCCAAGTGGATGGAGGGCACAATGAAAGGTACTGTAACGGACCGTTTTCGCCCACAAGAGGTTAAAAAATTTTTAGGCGATATTCCCCTTTTTTCAGATGCACAGACAGCTACTGCAAGCACCAATCTCCCGAACTGCAAACCCACGAATTCACCAACTCCCGAACTGCAACCAAGGGAATACTCGAAACTCCCGAACTGCATACCAAGTAGCACTCCAAACTCCCGAATTGGAGACACACGAATAGCTGTTAGCAGACGAACAGGAAAAGCACCCAAGCAGCTTACACTCCTGGCAATCAGTCTCTAACAGCATACAGTAAATCCCCCCAAAGACGAGACGACACTTCGTTTTGAGGGTCAAGCAGAATCTGGTTTACTGGGGCTAACTGCCCTGCTTTTATGCAGGTCTCCCACCTGGTGGACACTCCCCTAGGGGACCAGATGGACGACTGGGACACAAGGGTTACAAGAACCAATCACAGACTTACACATTTCAACAATCCCACAATGCATCACAATCCCTCCTCTCTGTCCTGGAGAAAATTGGGAAGTAATCCAATTATCTCCAAGGACAGAGGCAAACTCCATTACACACATTTTCAGTAAAAGACATAAAATTACATACAGTTACATTTATTACATAAAACATATAGATTCTACATATCCCCAGATAGCTTAGATCTGAGCGCACATTATTACCGAATGGCGCTCAGATCACGTACATACAGTTCAATCGCCATGGAGCCAAAGTCTTTCACATAGTCTTTTGTTACACGAATAGGCTCAATGGTTTAGCTATCTGGGGTGATGCTGTTCATTCGGTTGAACTACCGAATGAACAGTCATTCGGTTCCGCTACCGAATGGAGAGGTAAGGAGGCTGGCGGCTCAGCGGTGTTCACGCCAATAAGTGTCCATTTTCAGTTCCATAGTTTGGGTGCTGAACACCGCTGGCCGTTCGGGAGTTAAAAAAAAAAAAATGTTCAGGAGAGGAATGGGGGCCAATAAAAGGTACAGGAGGGATATTAAAAGGCACAGGAGGGCTGGGGGTCACAAAGAGACATGCAGGGTGGTAGAGGGGGGGCAAATACACAGAGGGGAAGAAGAGATGCACAGAGGGGTGAGGGGCTGGAGGGGAGATGCACAGAGGGACTGTGGGGGAGAAAGATGCACAAATGTGTTGGGGAAAAAGAGCTACACAAAGGAGCTGGGGGGAGAAAGAGACACAGAAAGGTGTAGGGGGACGAAAGACACACAAAGGGCTGGGGGGAAGAAAGAGACAGACAAAGGCACTGGGGGAAGTAAAAAATACACAAGGGGGGTTGTATGAGACACACAAGGGATAAAATACAGCAAAGGGGACACACAAAGGGGAAAAGTGGGGCAAGACATTAAAAAAAATGGGATATAAAACACTAAAGGGGATAAGTTACTCAAAAGGGGGGTTAGAAGATACATTTTTTTTTTTGGCAGGGATGGGGAGGCAAAATGCATCTTCGCCTGTGTAGTCAAAAATCCTTGCACCGGCCCTGATTGTACACAGTACTGGAGACCGCATCTCCAGAAGGATATTGATACTTTTAGAGAGAGTTCAGAGAAGGGCTACTAAACTGGTTCATGGATTGCGGGACAAAACTTACCAGGAAAGGTTAAAGGATCTTAACATGTATAGCTTGGTGGAAAGACGAGACAGGGGGGATATGATAGAAACATTTAAATACATAAAGGGAATCATGACCGGTGTATAGTCGCCATATGGGCAGTCGTACTCCTGGACAACCCTCCCACATACCTAACCCAATAATCGCACTGACACTCGGGTATATGGGAAAATTTGTCCACAGCTTTATTAAACAATCTTAAATAATAATAACAATATATTCATTGTAACATAATAATAATAATAATAACTTAACAAATAAACATGGGTCATTGCCCCCATACTCCACCCTCGCATCCAACTCCTTCTGTTATATAAAAGGCAATGACCCCCATATAAATAACAAATATACACATAACACATATATATAACATATACCAGTGATGGCGAACCTTTTTGAGCCCGAGTGCCCAAACCGTAATACATGCCAATTATTTTCCCCCTCAAAGTTCCAAAACGGCAATTAAACCTGAATATTGAGGTTTAAGTTTCGAAAAAACAACTCATACAGTTGTCCGAACTAATTAACATCTGTGTGTGTATTAAGGAGTTTGTGTGTGTGCTCGCAGTCTGTCTGTATGTGTATTTAGCAGACTGCTGAATACACACAGACTGCTGAGTACACAGTCTGCTAAATACACACACACACACACACAGACTGCTAAATACACACACACACGGACTGCCGAGTACACACACACAGACTGCTAAATACACACACTGCATTGAGGGGTACAGTGTATGTGTTTGTGTGTGCGGTGATGTGTTTGTGTGTGGGGTGATGTGTTTGTGTGTGGGGTGATGTGTTTGTGTGGTGTGTGTGTGTGGGGTGATGTGTGTGTGTTTGTGTGGGGTGATATGTGTAGGGCAGGGGTGCTGTGTGTATGTCGTCCCCTCTCTCCCCCCCCCACTGTTTTCTTTCCCCCCATCCCTCCCTCATTCCCCCCCATATCTCTCCCTCATTTCCCCCATATCTCTCCTCAGTTCCCCCCATCTGCCTGCTCAGGTCCCCCATCTCTCTCCCCTCAGTCCCCCATCTCTCCCTCCAGTTTCCCCCTCTATCTCTCCCTCAGGTTTCCTTTACCCCCATCTCTCCCTCAGGTTCCCCCCATCTCTCTCCCTCAGGTGTCCCCTTCCCCCATCTCTCCCTCAGGGTGTCCCCTTCCCCCTCTCTCCTTCAGGTCCCCTCTGCTCCTCAGGTCCCCCTCGTTCCCCTCTCCCTCAGGTCCCCTCTCCCCCCTCTCCTTCCAGGTGTCCCATCCCCATCTCTCCCTCAGGTGTCACCCCCTCAGGTGTCCCCTTCCCCCCCTCCTCTCCTCAGGTGTCCCCTTCCCCATCTCTCCTCGGGTCCCCCATCTCTCCCTCAGGTCCCATCTCTCCCTCAGGGTCCCCCATCTCTCCCTCAGTTGTCCCCCACCATCTCTCCCTCCCGGGTTTCCTTCCCCTCTCTCCCTCAGGTCCCCCTCCCCCTCAGGTCCCCCTCCCCACCTCTCTCCCTCGGGTCCCCTCTCCCTCAGGTCCCCCTCCCCCCTCTCTCCACTTTCGGTGTCCCCTCCCCATCTCTCCCTCAGGCTGTCCTTCGCCCCTCAGGTCCCCCATCTCTCCCTCAGGTTTCCCTTCCCCATCTCTCCCTCCAGGTGTCCCCTTCCCCCCCCTCTCTCCTCAGGTTCCCCTTCCACCCCCACCTCTCCCCTCAGGTCCACCTCCCCATCTCTCCCTCAGGTGTCCCTTCCCCATCTCTCCCTCAGAGATTCCCCCATCTCTCCCTCAGGTTCCCCTTTCCCCCCTCTCTCCCTCAGGTGTCCCCCCCCCTTGAGCTCCTACCTTGTAGCGTGGCCGAGCGCCGCGGAGCTCAGTTTCCTGTACCCGGCGGACAGGAAGTGCTCTCTCTGTGAGCACTTCATTTCCGTCCGCCCGGTACAGGAAACATAGGTTCCTGTACCGCGGTACGCTCGGCCACGCTACACAGAGTGCCTGGCAGGAGGGAGCGCTATGCGCTCACCTCCTGCCGGTCACTCCGGCTTTGCGCCCGCCGGGCCGGTGCGCCCTAAGGCGGCCACTTGTGCCGCCTTATGGATGCACCGGCGGAGCGCACCCTCCCTCTCTCCGGCGACCTATGGCCGCGTGCCCACAGAGGGGGCTCGGCGTGCCACCTGTGGCACGCGTGCCATAGGTTCGCCATCACTGACATATACCGACATTATTCCAACATGCCAACTTAAAGTGCCAAACATAAATTAACCATGGCAGGGGTATACCCAGATACTCCTAATCCACCAGGTTCTGAGCCACTGACAGGACTCGAAACCTACCAACCACCAATGACCACAGTTTCCTTTTCTGTCACGTTCATACTAGGGAGCCTATTCCTTCTCCTTCAGCTCCCTATCCCGCCACAAGCTGAGACCTTGATCCCTTAAGCTGTCTGAGCTCCGCCACCACGAAGAAATAGCGCTCTCTGCATTCCTTCCTGCCAACCCAAGTTCAGGAGATCCCAACCTACCGCCGACAGATGGACTCCATCCGAGCGGTAGTACCCTGGCAACCCGCCTTCCAACTCGCCGTGCCGCGCAACCACTCCCCCCACTTTCCTCACAAAGCTCGCCATCAAACTGTTCACTTTTTTCCTGCACTTATCGATAGCCACCGGATCCTGTGTGTGCCGCCACCGACGCCTCGGGACTATCTCTGACCAAACTAACATGATTCTGGGAAGCAGGTCCCTCAATTTGTTGAGGTCCTGCTTCATCCACTTTACCAGCCTTCGTTGCGGTGTGAGGCCCAAGTCATTGCCCCCTGCATGTAGGACCAGCAGGTCCGGCGCCTCCCCCACTCGCTATCTTCCGAAACACAGCCCCGCAGACCTCCCCCCAGCCGAATCCCCTGAACCCAAACCATTGCACTGCCAACTGGTCCCTCGGAAAGCCCAGCTGCTGGCCCTGGGCTCGAGCTGCATCCCTCCTTGCGGCCCAGAAGACAAAGGAATGGCCCACGATCCATGCAACACGGCCTAGGAAAGAGAAGAAAACAAACAATGAGAGCGCCTCTGACTGGCCATGCTCCTAGGGTGAACCCCGACCCCCCCCCGGGCGGATCCCATGCCTAGCCTCTCCTAGTGCCCCCGAGACCAAACCCAGATGCCTACTCCTAACTCCTCCCGAGGACCCACTCGCTAGCTGAGGAAAGCCCGCTGACCCCCTATAAACCCTAGCCCCCCCAACCCCGGAGGCCTGCTCCCCCTGAGGGATCCAGCACCACCCCGGGCCCTCTCTGTCAACCCCCACTCCCTAACCCCCTACCTATACCGCCCGTCCCCTGCTCCTCTGTGGCCCACTCCCAGCACCTTGCCCGCCAAGGGGGGCCCGGCTGGAGCCCCCTGCACTTGCCTGTTGGCCCAGGGGCCGGCCGCGTGTCCTCCCGGATCCGGCCTCGTCCTCCGTGACCGTCGTCCTGGGCCGCCCCTCTGTGCCCCCCGACCTTCCAGGGGGCCGTCCGCGCACCTCCACCTCGGGAGCCGCGGTGCACCCGTCCACCTGCTTCCAAGTACTGCTCCCAGGCCCCGGCCACTCGTGGGGAGGCGGGGCCTCGACCACGCGGCTACCGGGCCTGCTGCCGCTCACCCCAGACACCACAGGACCTCCTTGTGCGCCTTCACAGGGCCCCGCGCCCGGGCTTAGCCGTCTTGGGGGCCTCCTGGCCCGGACCGGCTGTCCACTGCCGCCGCCCCGCTCCGCCGCCACCGCCAGGGCCGGTCCCAACTGGGCCCGCAACCAGTCGGCACCCTGGAGTCTCGCCGCCGACCGGATCCCCTCCAACAGCCGCTCCACGTCGTCCATCAGCCCTGCAGGGAGACAAAAAAGGGAAAAAACCCCACCAGGCCAAATCTGGGAACACAGAAGTGAACACAAACTCGGCCAGGTAGGAAATTATAAGTGAGCTCACTTAAAATGGCTGCCTATTTAAATAGCCCAGCCTACTTACCCATAACTCCATACTTCCTTCCCTCCTCCTATGCCCGCCTCCTAACCCCTGTCAAGGCCCTTTTTCGCTTAGCTGTGCTTTGGCTACATGGGGCTACAACACAGTAAAGGAGGAGACTATATTTAAAAGAAGAAAAACTACCACAACAAGAGGACATAGTCTTAAATTAGAGGGACAAAGGTTTAAAAATAATATCAGGAAGTATTACTTTACTGAGAGGGTAGTGGATGCATGGAATAGCCTTCCAGCTGAAGTGGTAGAGGTTAACACAGTAAAGGAGTTTAAGCATGCGTGGGATAGGCATAAGGCTATCCTAACTATAAGATAAGACTAGGGACTAATGAAAGTATTTAGAAAATTGGGCAGACTAGATGGGCCGAATGGTTCTTATCTGCCGTCACATTCTATGTTTCTATGTTTCTATGTTATTACACAGACACCTCCGTATAAGGCGGAGCGTAAAACACCACAAAATAACTTGATACTTACCACGTGGTCTGCAGCTCACTCCTGGCGAAGAGGAGAGAATCCACCAGGGAAAGGTGGCTGTGAACCCCCTCTACCTCCTGTCACAACCCAATATACTGGCTGCACTCATACACTATCAGCCCACACTCACATTAAACCCTCCTAATCCACTCCAACCATACCAAGCTCAACCTTCCTTTACCCCAATTATTAATAGAGAGCTTGGTATGGAGCCGCGACATAATCACAGCCACCAGAGGGACTTCCAAAAGTCGCCACATGCTGGACGTGCTCACGCTGTGCATGAGGACATCAGGCGTCTGCTAAACCGGCGCTGGATTCAGGTAAGTGACCAAACGGGTTTTAACACGTTCAGTGCCGAGAGCTTTGTTTCCCTATAGGAAAAGGTCTAGTTTGAAGGGGTGGGGCAAATTTAGATTAGGGGGATGCCCAGGTTTAGTCATGCTTAGGGAAGCGCAAAACTAAAATACACCACTGGTGTTAGTGGGAGTCTCAAGTTTGAGTTTCGTCTAAGGCCTTGCACCGCCTAGAGCCGCCACTGTTTATATATAATAAAAGACAATGCATAAAATAACATTAAGAAATATTATACCGAGACCATCTGAAATATCATTTCAATGTCTAAAATATTATACCAATCTCAAAACACATTATTGTCCTAACTGCAACATACAAAAACCTGATATAAGCCTGCCAGTTGGGGAAAAAAAAAAAAAAGAGTATTAAAAATTCGTAAAAAATACCAAGGAAAAACAAGATGACATATAAAATTTTAATTCTAATATATAAAAATACCTTATAAAAAATATATTTTATAAAAAATGAATACCTTATAAAACCGCCAATCGATGCTCCTAGTGCTCACCGAGTACTCTAAGCACTCCACCACACACCATCAGCACTGTAGTCCCCACTTCCAGCGTTACAGGTTGGTTGGGGTCTCGCTGTCCTCCACCCACCCTGAACCCAAGACCAGGATCCAGCTTCCAGTGGGTAGACCTCTCCTCCAAGAGAGTGTAGGAATATGCTCTTAAAAAAGCAAGTGATTATAATCCCAGGAGAGTATTGTGATATAGCAATCCCCAGGGTAGATACAGCCGTTTCCCCCACACATGAGATGAGACTCTATGTTGAGGGTAAGCAGGAACTCGTTTATTGGCAGCCACAACTGGCCTTAAATGCAGATCCCCATGCAAGGGGCACTCACCCCTGGACCTGAGATTAAACCACGGTAGAAACAAATACACAATTACATTGGCTCTCAGATCCAGAACACTCCCATACATAATAAGACAATCCCTCCCCTGTGCCTGGCAGATAATTGAGTCATGAACCGAACTAAACTCAATTATCTCCAGACACAAAAACCACACATTATTATAAAACCCCCAAAATACATTTAAACACAAAAATCCCCTGATAGCCCCGATCTGGGTGACCAACATATCCAAAATTCACCCACATCGGTTCAGGGGTTCAGGAATTTCCTGGAAATCATTTATTTGACCGACCGCACGCATGGGCCCATGCCCAAAACAGTTCCAGAGAATCAGGGCTTGCGGTCAGTCTTGTTTGGTAGTTTGAAAACAAACAAACTACCGAACAGAGTCAATTGTCTTACCCTGGAGCTTGTTCCCCTCATCCAGACCACACAAAAATTCCTCTGTTAGCTAATGAACACCAGGAAAAGGCAGAAGTTTTAAATAACCATTTTTCTTCAGTATATATTAATGAGGATGCTATGGCAAGAGATATGCAAATGATTCCTGCAAAAAACTTGCCGATAACTTGTGACTGGATGACTCGAGACAAGCTGCTACAGCAGTTAAAGAAAATGAATGTAAATAAAGCTCCAGGGCCTGACGGTATTCACCCACGAGTACTTAAGGAGCTAAGTGGGGGAAAAAGTGAACCTCTGTATTTTATCTTTCAAGATTATTTTGTTTCAGGTATTGTACCGGAGGATTGGAGGAAGGCAGATGTCGTTCCTATATTTAAAAAGGGTTCAAAATCCTTGCCTGGAAATTATAGACCTGTGAGCTTAACTTCTGTGACTGGGAAAATATTTGAAGGGCTATTAAGGGATAATATTCAGGAATTGGGAAGAACTTTGTTATTAACAATAATCAGCATGGTTTTATGAAACATCGGTCATGTCAAACTAACCTAATTGCATTCTACGAAGAAGTAAGTAGAAGTATAGATCAGGGTGTTGCAGTGGATGTGATCTACTTGGATTTTGCCAAGGCATTTGATACGGTTCCTCACAATAGGTTAGTCTTCAGACTAAAATAAATTGGTCTAGATTAATATTCTTGTTCTTGGGTAGAACATTGGCTTACAGTAGAGTACAACAAGTTGTCATTAATGGTAAATTTTTAGGCTGCACAAAAGTGGTAAGTGGTGTCCCTCAGGGTTCTGTGTTGGGACCACTTCTATTTAACATTTATAAATGATCTTGAAATAGGCATTGAAAGCCATGTTTCCGTGTTTGCAGATGACACAAAACTTTGTAAAGTAATAAAATGTGAGCAAGATATTGCTTTGCTGCAGAGAGATTTAGATAGATTGGGGGACTGGGCACTAGAATGGTAGATGAAATTTTAACGAGAAATGCAAAGTTATGCACTTTGGGGTTAAGAATACACAAGCAACTTACACACTAAATGGTAGTGAATTAGGGATAACCACACACAAGAAGGATTTGGGAATTGTTATGGACAACAAATTAGGCAGCAATATGCAATATCAATCTGCAGTTGCTAAGGCCAGTAAGATTTTGTCATGTATAAATAGGGGCATAAATTCTCGGGATGGAAATATAATTTTGCCTCTTTATAAATCGCTGGTAAGACCACACCTTGAATATGCTGTGCAGTTTTGGGCACCTGTTCTAAAGAAAGATATCATGGCACTAGAAAAAGTGCAGAGATGAGCTACAAAATTGATAAAAGGAATGGAGCATTTTAGTTACGGAGAAAGGTTAATGTAAATCTCTTTAGTTTGGAAAAACGTCGCCTGAGAGGGGATATGATAACATTATACAAATATATTCGGGGCCTGTACAAACCATTATAGTATTAATTTAGCTCACAGATAGATTTATTATTATTAATTTAGCTCACAGACATATTTATTATTAAGTTAAATTACAATATATTTATTATTACTATTTATTATTATTAATTTAGCTCACAGATAGATGTTTTATTATTAATAATTTAGCTCACAGATAGATTTATTGTTATTTATTATTATTATTATTTTAGCTCACAGATTGATTTATTATTATTTATTATTATTAATTAAGCTCACAGATTGATTTATAATAATTATTTATTATTATTAATTAAGCTCACAGATAGATTTATTATTATCTATTATTAATTTAGCTCACAGATTGATGTATTATTATTAATTAAGCTCACAGATAGATTTATTATTATTTATTATTATTAATTTAGCTCACAGATAGATTTATTATTATTTATTATTAATAATTAAGCTCATAAATAGATTTATTATTATTAATTTAGCTCACAGATAGATTTATTATGATTTATTATTATTAATCAAGCTCACAGATTTATTTTTTATTTATTATTATTAAGCTCACAGATTGATTTATTATTTATTATTATTAATTTAGCTCACACATAGATTTATTATTTATTATTATTAATTTAGCTCACAGATTTATTTATTATTATTATTATTATTATTAATTAAGCTCACAGATAGATTTATTATTATTATTTATTATTATTATTTATTAAGCTCACAGATAGATTTATTATTATTATTTATTATTAATTTAGCTCACAGATTTATTATTATTATTTATTATTATTATTAATTAAGCTCACAGATAGATTTATTATTATTATTATTTATTAAGCTCACAGATAGATTTATTATTATTATTTATTATTAATTTAGCTCACAGATAGATTTATTATTATTATTTATTATTATTATTAATTAAGTTCACAGATAGATTTATTATTATTATTATTATTATTAATTAAGCTCACAGATATATTTATTATTATTATTATTTATTATTATTAATTAAGCTCACAGATAGATTTATTATTATTATTATTATTATTTATTATTATTAATTAAGCTCACAGATAGATTTATTATTATTATTTATTATTATTATTAATTAAGCTCACAGATAGATTTATTATTATTATTTATTATTATTATTAATTAAGCTCACAGATAGATTTATTATTATTATTATTTATTATTATTCTTCATTTAGCTCAGGCAGACCAGATTGAAAGGTTTTGAATTTATCAGATTGTTTAGTAAATATAAATGTATGAGAAGTTCAGTTGGCCAGCCTGTTGGCCTCGTTGAAGGGCTCCCACTGAGGCTCCCAGGGGCCCATCCAGCACACAGGACATACATACAGAATGGGGATCTGCCCTGTCAATAAAATGGCCGCCCTCCATGGAGGCGACATAAACCAAACTCCACCTCTACCATCCACAAACACAGGCCGCAGTCTGAGCTCTAAATACCAGAGTTCCTCGCTGTGACCGCCATGTTCCCGGAGCCTAGGATTCCCGCCGAAGCTGAACCACTGCGCGTGCGCTGCAATGTTTTCCAGGTTTAGAACTCACAACGGCCGAATAGATTGTCGCTCTAGTGAGCCACGCCCCCGAAATGTGATTGGCTGAAGATTTCTCTCCGCCCACTGTCAGCTGTGTTACTGTCTTAATGCGCGTTCCCGAGTCTGAGCCGGCTGGAGCGCGGGCAC